AAAAACATATAATAATGTTAGCAAAATATCTTCCCACATGCACATGCTCACACACCAACTTAAACATATATGCAAATCACCTATTTCATGCATATATCATATCTTACACTTAATAATTCCATGCATTTATATTACTATAAAATGCATATAAATCACAAAATTCACGTATTAACACATATGGTTACCTTAATCCATCTTGTAGAAAACCTGGTTATAACATTGAATGCACAGGTTCATATATAAATGAGTTAATTAGTTCATATGTGAGTTCATATGTGAATCACATAGGTTCACATATAAACTCGTTTGCTGCTTATTTGTAAAAGTTACAAAGCTACCCCCTCTATTTTTTGTATAGCCGCAATTTTTTGACCAGTCAAATCCGATCTTGACCATATGAAGAGCTAAAATCATTTCTTTACTTCTCACACGAGTTCATATATGAATTAGTTATATAGCGATTCACATATGAACATATAATTTTAGATTATATGTGAATCACATGAGTTCACATATGAAACCATTTGCCGCATATGTAAAAGTTACGAAACTACCCCTCCATCTTCTGCATACCTACGCGAGAAATTGTCCACTACTTTATGGTTAAAGCCGCAAATGTTGACCAAATGAAGGGCTAGGATTACATTTTTATTTATCAAATATTTAACACTTCTCAAATGAAACTTTCCATATATATATATATATATATACATACATACATATATAGATGAACGATCAAATACAAACCGCCCAATTTTTACAAACCTTACAAACTAATTACAGCCAATCACATAAATCTATTTGTTTTTCTTTTTTTTTAATTTATAACGGTATTATGGTCATTTTGAATTTACTATAGTTATGTTTGGTAATTATTTAATATTAATAGATAAGTTTGGTAACAACATAATATTTATATAAATATGGATAATATATTGATTAACACAATATTAACAAAGATTTAATTGAGGTATCCATTAACATTTTTTGGAAAAAAAAATCGCCACATTTTAAAAATATAGAATAATTTTGTTTAAAAAAATCACCGCTAATTTCCAATGAAACAGACTCAAATTGTTCAGCGAAACAAGGTCATATATAATTGCATCAGATTCATATGTATAACAGCTGTAATGAAACATGTTTATATTCATAGGTATGTATAACCGTTTGTAATGAAGCAGGTTCATATGTATAACAACTGTAATGAAACAAATTCATATGTCATATATGATTGCATCGGGTTCATATGTATAACAATCGTAGTGAACATGCTCATATAACATGTTTTTTCCTGTTTTGCCCTTCCGTGTCTCCAATATGATTTTTTTTTCTTTACTTATTTAGTTTGTTTCAATCTTGACCTTTCATCAAAAAAATGGATGAATGTGATTCTTTTTTAAGATTTGTATGAAATAGGATGGTTTGTAAAGTAAACCTCACACACACGCACACACGCACACACGCACACGCACGCACACACACACACACACACATGCACACACACGCATGCACACACACGCACACACACACGCACACGCACACGCACACACACACACACAGAGGCACGTTCAAATAAAACCCGTGCAATTCTTAGAAATCGTGTAAACTAATTTCGACCAATATAAAATTTCATTTTTTCTAATTAAATTTAATCATTAAGGGTATATTGGTCATTTGCATTGTTTTATATTAAATATGGAAGTTATTTATAAATCTTAATTAAGGTAAAAAAAAGAAATTTTATAAATGGTAACAATTAAATATTTAATTAAATTATAATATTAAAAATTGGATTTTGTTATATTGTGTTTCGGTTTATTATTGCCAAGATTCATGAAAATCGTAA